ACCAATAACATGGTTGCCCAAAATTCCCGCCCAAACATTAACTTTTTCCGGATATTGAATGTGAAGTTCCGACATCCAGTGAGAATTTTCCCTACTCCAAAATCTGCAGTTGTGCCGATTCACTTTTCCATTTAAACAGAAGGTATCTTCATCGCTGAACAAATTTTTTTTGTGGAAATTGGGGTTGTTGTTTATCATTCCCATCATAGTTTCTGCAAACTGAGCTCAACGGTCTGGATCATCTTCTTGCAGTTGGTGGAGGTAAATATTTTGATGAGTTTGGGTTTTTCATCGGCCAAGACCGATTTCTAACTTATTCGCGAATTAGGGGCTAATTGTGTGGTACTTGTCCTAGGGTTTTCTTCGAGTTGTAAAGGAACAAATTGCACACTTCTTGATAAGATCTTTGTTTACTTCAATATCCTCGAAAAATAAGAATTTCAATTCGCTGTTTTTCGTTAAGTACAAATGCCATAATAACGGCCGAAATATTTGTCAGTTTTGAATTGTTTTGACATTTCTAATTGTTATGGTTCTGAAGTCTATATGACATTACAAAACAAATTCGTTTATTTTGGAAAACAAACAAACGGATGATTTCTTACTAAGGCCCGTATCGTCAGTCGACCCTACAATTGTAGGGCGCGTTTATGGCCTCCTTGATTGTCATAGTTTTCTACTTCTCCGTGTCAAAGCTCTATTTTGAGGTTATGTCACAAACATCTATTTGCATCAAATTGTGCTTGCTTTTGAGATTTATCATGTTTTAACAGCCTGAAATTTCCTATAATTTAAAAGGAAAACATATCTTAACAATACGAGAGCGCTGACGCTGACACGGAACGAGTGTAATCTAGAAATTTTTGAAGGAGAGAAAAGAGTATGACAATCAAGGAGGCCATAAACGCACCCTACAATTGTAGGGACGACTGACGATACGGGCCTAAGGTGCAAGTGTAAGGAATGAAACAAAGTGTGATTCCATATCTGCGAAACTGACAGGAGTAAAAAAGTGATAATATCAGGTCATAATACACACGTGCATTAACTACCCAGTGGTCAGGGAGATTGACGAGAAGAGCAAAAAATCAGGTTGGAATGTCAACAAGGAGAGTGGCTCGTCAATAAAAGAGACTTATGTTCCCCAAATACTCTCAATACTCTAAGTATTGAGTTGTTATTTATGATAACTAGTAAGTGTTTGAATACATTTCTTTATTAAAAAAATCCGATAAATATTTTGAACCAAAACTTTTGAAACATTCGTTACTGCTTTGGCGTCCTTCGATTCAAAAATACAAGTTTCTTAACTTGTTCTTAAATTTGCAGCACTTGCACTTTCGACTGTATACACCTCGATAGCCTCTTCACGAAATAAACAAACCTAAACAGCTCGGGATAGAAAATTCCAGGACAGCAATCTGAATAAATTTAGTGGGATCTTGGAGATGCTTGCAGTAAACTAACATCTTCTTTATTGCTACACGGAAGTGCCAATGTCGGTTTTTCAAATTCAATTTGTAAATAAACTAGGGAAAACCACAGACCACGCGACGCCTGATTTGGCTACTCACGCATATCGTACCACTAGGATGCAGGGTAGGGCAGGTCCATTAAGATTTTTCTGAACTTTATAATATCTGGGTACGTATTATTAGTAAAAGTTCCCTGTTGTTGCATGATTTATACGCCATGTATAGTAATGTGTCAACTTTAAGGATATCCTGTGTTACTAAAATGAATGGGGGGTCATGTGATACTTCATTTTGAAGTTTGTTTGCTGTATTTTATAAAGCTAGACTGTCTTGTTGAGCGCTTTTGTACATTGAATCGCTTATAACTCATCAACTGATCATTGAAACGGCTATAGTATGTTATATCAGCCTTTTTCTTTTGGAAGGGTCTAACTGAATAAATTGGCTGGTTTTGACATTTTTTTCAATACTTTCAATAAACACAAGTTTGCTATAACATACTATACGCATTTCGATGGTTGGTTATATGCGATTTCATATACAAAAACGCTCGACTTTGGCAGTTTCCCAGTTCTCCATTTTGAAAGATACCGATTTTATCTTCTAGAATTATATGGTACTGATAAGGAGATGTTTCATTCTATTTAGAAATATGTTAGAAATTGGCGCGTATCGATGAATCAGTATCATCAACGCTGAGTTTCAGCTTGCTAGCTTAACGCATTTAAAAATAGTCTCTACTTTTTGATAGGAATCGGCGGAAAAATTGCATTACTGTGTCTCTGTGTTAAAATCAGCACTTATATAAAATTTCTGTTACATTCTGCCCTGATACTTTGGCTTGAGTGCCAATACAAATTTCTTAGTCCTGGTATTTTTGATATTAAAAAACTTGACTGTCGTTTTAACGCCGCTCTTAATAAAACAAAATACCTGTAACCTCAGTCCCCACTGATTTATTAACTATGGAAATTAATCGTGAAAGCAAAAATGGAGATTAAACCAGCCATAGCAAATTTCATAAATTGGAATTTATTACCTTGTATGTAATTCTTATCAAGATCGGGATAATTTTATTGACTCGTTGTTGTCACTTATCGTTATGATTAGCATACATTACAACTCATATTATTTGAATGAAAATTGATGGTAGCGCATCACCCTTTTGACAAATATAGGCAACATTAGAAAATGTGATCGAATAGTGCAATTTGTTGTACAACTGTAGATGTCGTATAACTGAAGAAGTCTTGACACGTTTCACTTGTATTTAAAAAGTATAGTTAGACGATGAAACGCTTTACGACTAGAGAAAGATTTGTTTGTGAGGATCAAAGTGCACTAGACATAAGAAAAATTTTTCTGTAATTAAATTAGTATTTTAGGGTTATTTCTCAAAAGTGCGTTTGCAGATAATTGTAGTACTAGACGATTTCACGAAAACATATATATACGAGTTCTTCGTATGTAATTTGTAGAGTGACACAAGCCTAATTATGTAAGATGCTTCCACCGGTAAGTATTATTATTATTATGTTGATACAACGCTGTCACTTTGGTAGACAATGGTAGTCAAATGAGCCGACAAACGATGCAATGTAAACATAAAGGCTTGACTCCTAATCTATCCGAAGTTATTGGTTCTCTCTAGTGTTTTATTGTGAAACTTGTTCAACAAATTTTCTATTCGTTCCCATGATGAAAGAGTTTTACCAACGGCTCCTACAATCCTCAATATTAGTACACATTTTCTATATATTGTTCAAACTGCTCGTGTTTACCCGTCGGAGTCGATTACCAATTATTTGCCCTCATCATCAGGTTATCATTTCTGTTTTCATTCGGTTGCTACTGGTACCATTACGGTCTTTAGTATTTTCAAACGTTTCACACACTCACCAACCTGCTATTTGTATCTGTCATTTCTCCTGAGGTCGCTACATTCTTGGTCGGTCTGTCATGCTGCTGATATCTGGTACCTACCTAGTATCGGACCCAAGAAAAACTGAAAGAGTTGACAACCCTATTTATTAGTTAGCATTTGTAGTGAGCACGTTTTCCATTTGATTTGATCAACGACTTTGTTGTGGAAGTCGTACTACTTCGCATTTATCTGGGGAGTCGGAAAAAGGAAGATCTTCACCCGCATAAAGAATTTTTGGTTCGATTTAATTCGATGTGAACTCGTCCGCGGAACATTTCGTAACATTGCCATTCATATGTCTCTGTCTGTACAGCGTACGCGGATATTTATAGTGAAAAGAGACAATAAGAAAACAACTGCCTGTATCCATTAATTACTATCATACGGTACGCTGAACGTGTCTAACGCTTTGCCTAAACTAACGAATTACTCCTTTGTGCTACTGCTACTTATTGAAGAGATAAGCAAACAAAGCTATTGCTACAACAACAACAAAAATTGGGTTAGGAATGTGCGGTCTATAAGCTGAAGTACTTAGATGTAAAGGAACAGTACACATCTTTTAGAAATTGTTTTCTGATCTGTCACATTATCCATTTTTACTTCCCACGCCTATGCTTCTAGGAAAATGCTAGTCGGAAGCGAGTATCATATTCTCCCAAAATTGACAGGGGGCTGTTTTGACTTTCATGCCAATGTTAAATTTTTTTAAAATCCTCATAGGTACGGCCAATTTTTAGCACTGAAGCAAGACAGGTATTATTTACGAAATTCACCGAGATATTCGACATACATACAACAATAATTGAAAAGAGACTGGACAACAAACGCTTTAGTAATAATTAGTTTGAAATTTTATTCGTCACATCATTTTTGCGGAATGCTGCCAGTATAATGTCACTGTACGTTGCGCATTCACTTAATGTCGACCGGGCCTGTTTTTTGCGTCTCGCTCGTCAGGTGTAATGACAGGTTTGCACCTGTCAGCCTGTTATTATGCAAAACGGTCGTCGTGTTACGGCGTAATGTGACAGGACACTTCACGTTATACATGCTTGCAACTTTAACTCATATGCACACGCTAATTATTCAATTGCCTTGGTTCATATTCGTTTAACCACAATTATACACGTATAACTAAGCCGTTTCTTGTATCCAAATAGAGTATTGGGCCTGCACTTGACATGCAGCAAATAAAGCGCTTCTCACCATTAAGCCTCCTCAATATTATTTAGTTCAAATTAGGTCTGAAACAGATAAGATCAATTCAGTTCCATTTATCGATAGCATTTGCAGCACTCTTTATTGGTAAACAGACGGCATTGTTGTATTTTCCGATAAATGTAAACATTTCTACTGTATTCATTATATTCATTACTTTTCGATATCGAGTATCCAGTTTCAAGAGTCACAGTTTCTGAAGAAGCTAAAGATTCTAATATCGCAAGGTCTGATGACACGTATTTTCCTAATGAAAAAATGTTAATCTTGGGATGAGCTGATCTCGATCTCAAGTCAAGATCCTCAGATAGCTAATGACAAATTCTATATGATATTTTGAGAAATTATCAACAATCATACTGCTGAGGTTGTGATAAAATTCAAAAATCATATACGCAAACCTTGGTTGGCATATGGGCAGCAGCGGTGGCCGCAGTAGTCCGTGCGCTGTGCGGGTTCCAGTCCCGTCCCAGGAGAAATTTTTCTCTTGGCTATGGATGTTGTGATTATCCGTTGGTGGTAGACGGTCTCTGACTGTCGAACGCGGAGGTACGACCCGGCGGATCTCGTAGGCGGAGCCAGAATGTGTGCATGTTGCATGCACACGTGTTCACTCGCCAGAGTCTGTGTGGCGTTCCCCCTTTCCCCTGTATCCCCCTAAAGCCCCATGGTACCCAATGGGTGTTTAGGCCTTCGTGGTAGTTGGAGTATAAATAAAAAACATAAGGAAACGAGATTCATTGAAAAAACAAATGTCAAAAGAAAAAACTGTATTCAGCTAAAGGAGAAATGTAAAGCACACAAAAACCACTTGAGCAATCTAATTAAAGCAGCCAAAAATGTATTTATTACACAAATAAAATAATTGAAAATTCAACAAGCTATAAAAAAACATGAGATTAACGAAATGTCAAGTGAATCAAAAAATAATGCCGAGGTAAACAAAATAAAAAAGGACGCAATATTAAAGGGATAACTTTTTCATCGGGGTTGACGAGAATATAGCGAACATATTAAAAAATATATAACATAGCTAAACAATGCTTTTTGAATTATTCCATATTCGATATTTCAATAAGCAACAGAATATTTAGGATGTGAAGAGATAAGATCTGCTTTGAAAAACAACTCATCGCGGGGTAAAAGATCGAATTTCTTTAGAGACAATTAAACTTGTGAAATCTTCCATCTCGTGACCATTGACTCATATTATAAATTCAATATTCATAACGTCAGTAGGTAAAAGAGAACTTATCGCCATAGATTGGCGATTAACAATTTTGCCACAGCATTTAGAAAATAAGAGGCTGTAATCGTTTTTAAACAAGTTTGATCTGTTTCCTCAAAATCAGTTTGGATTTCGGAAAGACAGAGGGCTAACTACGCAACTTCAATAAAAATAAAAAAGATGCTGCTATATTTCTTGATCATCAGAAGACTTTTGATAGGGTGACACATTGGAAACCATTACAAATGGCCTAGAAGTATTAGGGGCAATATTCTAGTTGTTTTTGATGACTATCTCTCAGATAGGTATCAACAAGTCCGCATAGGACATGAAATAAGCGACACAAGAACAGTCAGATTGGGTGGGCCACATGGTAGTGTTCTTGGCCCTACTTTGTTTCTGATTTTTTTAGATGAATTTCTTCATTATACGAACTGTATTTGTATAATTTTCTATGTTGAGTGTAGACGATATTTTATTGAATTACTCTAGGATTACATTGGCAGAAGCTCATGATATGGCGGAAAAATACTTGAATAATGTAAAAGATTGGTTGGATATAGATAATATCGGTTCAAATATGTCCAAGATTAAGTTCATTGCCTTCTCACCAACATATGCATCTTCCTTCAGTGATATTTCTGTTTCATAATTCGCGAAAGTAATCATATTATTGAACAAGTTCCATTCCAAGCAAATTGGTTAGCTAGAAAGTTAAATTAATTTATAAATTATACGCTTTACATAATCTTCTGAATAAAAATTTGCTTATGATTGTCTATAATAAGTTTGGTTAAATCTTTGCTCAGATACGCTATATATGAAGGGCGATTAGCTTAACTATACGTGACAAATATCGAATATTCCGCGAGCACTCATCAAAAGTGTGATTTTTTACTCTAACAGAAACAGAAGTATTTACAAAACTAGTTCCCGTAGTTGATTTACTTTTAGGACCCTATGCGACATAGTGTAGCATCGTAAATTCAGTTTTAAATTTATTCAAATTTTTCCTAAACTCAAATATCCTGTGAACTTCGCTTCAATTCCTTTGTTAAATATTTTCGTTGAAAAAATTTCGCTAAGAGGGTCTAACTAGTGTCCGAACTTTTATGAAGTGCGCTTGTTCTGTAACAGGTACCCTGCTCTTTCAGTAGTCGTCAATGATTGTTTGACTTCATGGATGTTTAGCGGCTAGAAATTCTTTTGTTGGACTACATCGACCCCATATTCCACACATCTTTTGCAGTTCGCTATAACCAAACACACTGTATGGAGTATGTATACTTGACCTTGTAGATAGCTGAATGAAGACTTTATTTCAAAAGTGTAGCTGTTTATTTAGATTGCAACCTTTCAAGACCGCTCACGGGGCGTGTAAATATAAAAGCGCATCTTTATGAACTGCTGAAACTAGGATGGCTTTCCATCTGGAAAACGAACCCGTGCTAGATTGATATGTGTATTTTCTCTGGAGATGATCAAAGGCTTTTAGGTTGTGAATAGTCGACCTTTTAGTTTGGACTGCATGTGTCTTTTTGTACATAAACATGTATACGTTATATGAAGGAAAGCTTTCCACGCACACATCAGACAGGCTTAGACGATATTTTAGGCTTGTTTCATTCATGACGACTTAGTGTTGCAATATATATCCTTCTATTAAAAGGTACACTAGTCACACACATTTGATAAGATTGCTGATTTGTTGTGTGCTACCATATTACAGTAAAATTCTGGGTGCGAGAAGTACAAGGTGTAATCAAAATTGGAACTTTACTTTTCAGAAACAACTATTCTTGAAATAACATCTAATGAAGGGTGAAACAGCAGTGATAAAAGGAAAACGGAAAGATGAACACTGCTTCTGTTCGTTTGATAGGAAATTTCACGTACCGCCCTGCTATACTCTTCGAAGTTGTCGTCACTAGATTTCGTCACATTTTCCACTCAATGTTCCTCCAAAGTGCCTTGTACAAGACAAACAAATCAACGTACCTCAAGATAAAACGATTTGAATGCATTCTCGAAGCTTCAGCAGCATCTTAAATACAATCAACCTAAATGTAAGGATAATATCTAGGTTATTTTCAGCCTTTGGCGCGAATGTGTTATTAGGGAAATTTACTTATTTTCACAAGAACTGCACCCCGTGTAAAATAAAGTAACAGGTTTAAGAATATCCTCATATGATACTTTTCGAGAAACATTCTGATATAGGTGAAACGATATTGATAATAAAATAAAATGTCTAGACCAGTGGCGGATTTAGAGGGCGGGTGCCGGAGACGCGCCCCCCCCCCCCTTAGACGTCTGACACTTGCTTTTGTAATCTAACACCATTGTGTTACTTTCTGTTGCACCATGGCGACAGCGGCATACTAACTATAAGTTATAGCACACTATAAGAACTGACCATTACGATCCTTTCGTATTGAAAATGCTGTCCCTCTTTGACATCACCTGTTCACAGCACAACTCTTACGATTTATACGAAAATACGAGTATTGTGACTTATGACAAATCTAAGTTTAATATTAGCTATACAGATTGCACGTAAAAAGTGATTTATGTTCTGTTTGTTGCTCAATAGTAATTTGAAAAGTGTGTAAAGCTTGACTGATTTTGTTCGGGGTTGGTGTTGCTGTAAAGCACTATGTTAGATGAACGCTTAAATTGGCAATAGACATTTGCGAGATTTGTTTAGCGGTGCGCCTGTGGCCTGTCTAGAAACTGCGTCGATCGATGCTCAAAGTCAATACCACACGTCCCGCATCTCTTCTCGCGTATGTGTGTATTTATGTTGCTATATTGTATTCGTTTAAATCACAGAGCTGCTGCACTATACGTGAATATGTACAGCACTGTATTCCTGTACTTGTTTAGTACAAACATACATTATCAAAATAATTACAATCTAACAGATATAGTTTTTTTCAAGGATTTCCAACATTTCTACATGCTATCAAAACCGATTCGAAAACTGAGAAAACAACAACTATGCCGTAAACCTAAGTTCAACGATAAAAGTCTGAAAAATAACTGTAACATCTATATTGAATTTTAAAAGCCCCAACCCCCACTGAGCGGGGCCGTAGCAAATGCTTGTTCCGGAAGTTGTTGTATCCAGCATACAACTTCTTCCCGTTCGAATCATTGTCCACGCGTTAAAGGACCACCGAGGCGGTACCACCCGCTGTCTTTTCCCAGGGTGTCTTATAAATGTCCGCATGTTTCCACACCTAAGCTATGCAGTCGGTTATCTTCCAAAACAAAGAAATTAATGATGCATCCCTTGGGTACTAAGAATTCCGGATGTAAGCTCACTCCACTCTCGGAATGTCCGGGTGAAGGGTGGACTCGAGGGAACAACATCGAAGATAAAATTTGTTTCACGAACATCTGCGGGATTAACAGCAACAGTGATGCTGTTCATCACAACTTGCAATCCAATCGTCCCGCCATGCTTTTCTTGGCGGAGACAAAAATCTCAGAGGCCGCACCGATTAACCATCTTAGCTTCCCAAATTACGAGGTGCACTCCAGTCTGCGAAAGAACGGGGGAGTTGTGGCCCTGTCCTTAGCAGTCTTTCCTGCTACAAAGATGTGTCTCTAGAATCAGACCAGAAGGAGATTCTGTGGCTTTGCCTCAACTCCCAAACATTCCCCAAAGACATTGTTTTCTGTGGAATGGACTGGGTTATGTCTCGAGGTCCCTCAGAATGTTTTATTTTTTGTTCAGTTAACAGAGCAATTAAGTTTTTTTTTTAATCTTCAATATTATTACACTAGTTAATTATAAATGCCACGTACTTATTTTGTTCTCATATAATAAAATATTGGCTTTCTGAGATTGACCAGATAGAACACAATGGATTTAAGGAGCAATAATAGGATAAATTCTAGAAGTTCCACTGAGGTTAAAAAATGACCAGCCCCAAATATCGTTTGAATTCGCCCGTGTCTAGAGCCCAATATTTTTAAGATTATTATTTAGTATCTTAGTCATATTATTATCTGATCCTGCATAATGTACAAAATGGTAGCGTATTTACCTTTCAATTGGCGACATTAATAATGTCCACACACATTCCCTATGTTAAGAAATTAATCAGGTATAATATTATGGAAATGAGTGGATTTTGAGGCGTGAGGGAAAAATTGTCGACCGACAGACAAGCGGCGCCTGTCGCCAAGACGCCGTCAAATGGCGCCGGCGCCATTGGCACTGGCGTCTGCTTTAAAAGAATGCCAACAATTTAGATATAATTATTATTGTATATCATGATTGTAATAAATATATATGCATGTACACCACGTTGCACATGAATACATATACGCATAATAATTATTTCTTAGTCCAGTCACCGATTAATACGCATATAACAGTACAACAAAGCTAAACACTTAAAGACTTATTTTTGATTGCAAAGGAATATGGTTCAATTCCGTAACGATTGCCGCTTAACAGACTTTTTTCACCACTAACCTGAGAATTCGCCATTATTTACCGCATTCCTCTAAGAAGTTACGTTTCTCCCCTAGATAATGAATGTGCGCTGTATCTGCCATTGGAAATTGAAGAAACGGGGGTAGGAGGCAACGTAGTCTGATACATCCGTACTTCTGAGAGTGAATATCCTTATGACACAGCTCTCCTCCATGATGCAGCAGCGCGATGTGCCTGCCAGACAGACCCGCCTGACCTGACAATTGAAGAGCAGCGAACAACAATTGTCCAACGCGGCGAATTTCCAATTTTCTTAAGGCTCTTTATCGTCCCTTTGTATTTGCATATTACTGACGTAGAGCCTCTTTGACTTGCTGGGCACCGAATTGTCACTGCTATTAAATCGTTTATCAATTTTTTAGTGGTTCTAGTAATTATTGATTGCTACACGTCACCATAAAGTCTATAGTCTACTTGAAATAATTGCTGTTGATTGTATTTATTGGGGGTTGTCGGAAAAGTCATGACGCTTTTTTTGTTTATTTTAAGGCCATTTTATTCATATACAGCACAAACTTCAATCAATAATGTATTGCCCATTTTGATCGATGACCTTTCGCCATCTTTCAGGCAGCTTCATAATTCCTCGCTCGTAGAAGGATTTGTCTTTACCGGCAAAAAATCGAACAAGGTGCTGATGTACAGCTTCATCTGAAGTAAAGCGTATTTCTCGCAAGGAATTTTGAAGCGACCGAAACAAATGAAAATCAGATGGGGCAAGATCAGGCGAGTATGCTGGATGTGGTAACACATCCCATCCTGACTCCAATAACTTTTGACGAGTGAGCAAACTTGTGTGCGGTCTCGCGTTGTCATGGTGGAACACAACTCCTTTGCGATTAATGAGCTCCGGACGTTTTTGCATGATGGATTGTTGCAAACTGTCCAATTGCCGACAATACACAGTTGTATCGATGGTTTGGTTCTTTGGCAGGAGTTCGAAAAACACGATCCCTTTAAAATCCCACCAAACAGAGAGCATCACCTTTTCCTGATGACTCTCTGCTTTCGCGATCGTGTTACGCGTATCTACACTTCGGGACCAAGACCGTTTGCGAACCACATTGTTGTAAACAATCCACTTTTCATCTCCCGTTATCAAGCGCTTTAAGAAAGGATCGTTTTCCTCACGTTTAAGGAGCATATCGCAGATGTCTACACGCGCCGTCAAATGAACCTCTCTCAGTTCGTGTGGTACCCAACGATCGAGTTTGCTTACGTATCCCAGTTTCTTCAAATGGTCGTGAACGGTTGAATGATGGATTTTCAAGGTTTCTGCAATTTCCCGTGTGGTGTAATGTGGGTTTGCTGAGTTTGCTCCTACCAATGCCTTTAATTCGTCACTATCCAACTCAGTAGGCCGCCCTGATCGATGTGCGTCATGGATATCAAAATCCCCATCTCGGAATTTTTTAAACCATCTCTGGCATTGCCGTTCTTGTAGTGCATGTTCTCCATAAACCTTTCTCAACTTTTCACACGCTTGTCTTGCGTTCTTGCCTTTGCGGAAGTAATACAGCAAAATGTGACGAAAATGCACAGTTTGGTCGTCCATCTTCAACGTCCTCTAAAATCGACGAGACTCAAATAAATCACTTAATTTTTTGGTGCAAATGAAGCTTGAAGTGTCATCTGTCAAACTACACAATCAACATACAAATGTCATTGACTCACGTACTTCCAACCATGCAATTGCATACTTTGTTGCATATACGTCATGACTTTTCCGACAACCCATTTACCTCATTATTTTGACAGCTGAGAAATCCCATGGTACTTGACAAATTGGAGTAATTGGAAATGGATGGGAAGCGAACGATGTACTTTTTACAGCTATTCGGTGTTCTGCAGGGTTATTACATGTAAAAGACTAGAACTAGGGCAGTTCACTATAGTCACAAAAATTCTAGCCTTCTGGAGCCATGTAACTATGAGTCCGACTATAATTTTTAGCAAGGTGTTAAAGGCTCTAGTCCCTACAATTTGACAATGTCATCAACCTCTAAAATAATTGATATTTCATGACCTTAAGCGGTTCTAAGTGGTTGTTATAAGACTGGCCTACCTTGAAGAAAAACAGTTCAACTCCACTTTTTTCATTTATTAAAAGCTTTGCAACCTTGTGCGAACTTTCTAACTTCTTTGTACTTGTTGAAAACTTGGTGCTTAAAGTTTGGTCAGGGCTTCAGTGTATTCCCTCAATTCGTCATTGTTGCTCTTGTTTGTATGCTTAAGTGTCTTCAACGTATTTTATGCAATGAATGTACTACAGAAGTGTGATATTATCAAATAAATTGATAGATTTACATCTAGATATTTTTATGTTATAAGTTCTAATTAGATAATTTTGCAAAAAGCATACTTCATTTTCATAAAATCTGTTTTAAATATTTATGGATTTTATAGATATAGATGCAACTCTGGCTCTAACATAGGAATTCTGAAAATTCCTTTGTATCAATTTGAGCAAGAAGTAGCAGAACAAGTGCTCAAAAATCATTAAGGTTTATATTTCAGAGAATTTGCTGCATATT